GAAGTCGGGTTATTGCCTTCATTAAATCTAGGAGGCGCAGAGCATTTGGATTGGTCCGTTAGTAACATCCGGCGAGACTTAGATATCTTGGTATCTTGGAAAAGGCTTGGGGTCCGAAGCGCTAAACAAGAAAAAGAACTTGATTAGGAGTATGTGATTGAGATTACCTAATTATGAGAAGGAGACTTGTCACTGCCAACTGTCGCGGCAAGTGGAGTTGCCATGTTAAGGATCTCGTCAGTCTGTCAGGTTTGGCGGTGACTAGCCGGAAAATTTGAGTGACGAATCCTGCTTGGGTCCTCTTCGCGATCCATAGGTCCTTTGTTTCTGTTGTCCACAAAACAAGCTCAGCAAGAAGCGAACAAAACATAAAATCTATTTTGAGATGTGTTTGGTGTTTCCTTCTATTCTGACTTTTGGATGGTCAAAGATTCCAACGATTCTATGATCTGGACGATCCAAAATCACCCATAAAAAAGCTTGGTACGAGTAGAAGCTGGGGTGAAAAGGAGATGATCCTATCAAGTTGCGTTAAGCAGTGATCGTAATATTAACCCGAGTGGGCATTTTGCTGTTAGGTTGCAGTGTTGCGACGATCAGTCCTCTTCGCCAATTCGTGGTTCCGTTAAGGATCCATGGAATGAAAGGGGGGCTTTGGCAGGGGAAGAAGAAATAGGTACATGTAATCAGACGAACTCTCTACATAGTACTTGCATACCTACAGTAAGAGAGGCGTACTATGCATGTGGTGTGTTCCTATTGATGGTTCTTGAGGCTTAGCCGCAGATCCCCCTGATCCTAGCCCACTCTTGGAAGAAATGGGGATACATGGACTCCGTACCAAATTTGCTGCATCGTGGAAGTCACCCAATTCATGCAGACTGCAGGTACAAGGCGTTAGTGCCACTTTTAGCTTTGCCCGTTCAGTGCCCGTTGCGCTTCCAACTGGCCAATATCCACCTTTTCACCAATGATATCCACGTTCCTGAGTGGCGTTTATCTGGAAAACTGCAGGTAACTTACTGATCCCACTCCCCCTCCACGTCGCCAAGTCTCCATTGAAGCTCGTCTTTAATCTCAATTCACCCACCCCCTTTCCACTGATTTTTTTTTTTTTTACTTGTCCTCTTCCCTCCCTCTCGTTATTACTATTCAGTCTTGACGCTTTGTCCATTGTCGTCGTCTTTCTCTGCCCGGAAGCAATTCTTTGCTAAGTCACTCATTGTAAACTGGTGAATTTCTCACCAAGCCGCTCATTAACAAACATTCTATTCAGGTCGCGAGATCGCTTCATTGTTGTTAGCGCATCTTTACCCTGTGTGTTTGCTTGCCACGTTCGTTTCAATTAGTATTGTGCTTCCCGGCTCGAAATTAATTACCAACGGAGAGAATTGAACCACTCGAACAATCCGTAATAGGTCGAAAGACGCGAAGCAAATAGGGACATCCTTGAAAACATTGCGATTCGGAAAGGAACGAAGCAAACATCGTTAAACAAAAAACCTCCACCATGAAGTACTCTTCAGCGCTCGTCGTGGCTGCGGCCTCGGTCGCCAACGCCGGCTACTGTACCGATGCCTTTGAGGAGATGGGTAACTGGTTCTGCCCCCAACCCGTCAAGCAGATCAAGTACAGTGGACTCGACATTGCTGGCAAATACCGAGCCGTCGCGCAGATGGACGCCTCGGGAACCTGCACCTTCGAGGACAAGGACTACTCGGGCCCCATCGCCCCCTTCAGCGAGGACGTGAGTATCATTGCCTCTTCTGTAACATGGATTATCCCGACAACTAACGCCATCGCAGTTGACCATGCACTTCCGGGGTCCCCTCAACTTGGTCTCGGTAGCTGTCTACACCCCCAACAAGGGCAAGCGTGACGTTCCCAAGCCTCACTCCAAGCGCCACGGTCACCAGCACCTCCACAAGAAGCACCACGAGCACCACGAGGCCGAGAAGCGCGCCGACATGGTCACCGCCGTCATCGACGGTAAGACTGCGACCTGGGAAAACAACTGGTTCGGCGCCGCCGCCACTGCTGCCGCCGCTGTGGCTACTCCCGTCGCCAATGCCGCGAGTGCCGTTGCCAGCGCTGCTCAGTCCGCCAAGGGCGCTGTGGAGTCCGCTATTAGTTCGGCCAAGTCCGGCGGCTCCGACTACGTCGACGTTGGAGATTATAGCCGTATTGCCTACTACAACGCCAAGGACCAGGTTGCCGACGGTCTCGTTTTCCTCGGAAACTACGGTGACCCGTCTCTCTCTGGAACCTTTGACACGTAAGTTGGCGACACATTAATTCTAATTCTAGGAGATTGTTAATAATTAACAAATTCGTAGTACCTGGGGTGCTTCTTTGTCTTACGCCAACGCTGAAGGCTCTGGTTGCGCCGCTTCTCCCACCATCCTGAAGGACGGTCTCATCGACGACTCCAGCGAAATCATCATCGCCTCCGACAAGGAGTGCGACGGTGATTGCGGTACCGTTCGCCCCGGTGCTGTCGCTTACAGTAAGATTTCCCCCGAGAATTGCGCAACTTGATTTTTTTGTAACTGGATACTAACGTCATTCTCCAGAGGGCTTCGAAGGTGCTGACAAGGTCTTCCTGGCTGAATTTAAGATGCCCCTGAGCGGCAAGACCGGCTGGAACATGGATATGCCTGCTTACTGGCTCCTGAACGCTGCTATCCCCCGTACTGGTCAGTACAGCAAGTGCAGCTGCTGGTCTGGTGACAACGCTTCCCCGCAAGAGGGTGGTTGTGGTGAGGCCGACATCATCGAAGTCCTCCGCTCCGGTGACACCAAGGCTAAGTCTACCTTCCACTTCGCTGCCGGCACCGGTGACTCCCACTACTTCGACCGTCCCACCGACAGCTCCATGAAGGTCGCCGTTGTTTTCCAAGCTGCCTCATCCACTGCTTCCATCAAGGTTCTCGACGACAGCTTCGACTTCAGCACCGGCCTCACCTCCGACCAGGTCGAGAGCCTCGTCACCGACGAGTCCCAGCTCGACCTCTTCAGCCTGATGTCCTTCGGTTCGTAGATTTCGATCTAACTACGAGGGATGCGGTTGAGGAAATAGTGGTAAAGAGTTGGAGGAGGAATGGTTGGGTAATGCTGTACGTTGCATACATAAATGCGCTTGAGGGCGGCGGACGTCAATTTCTGAACTTCGTGTGTTTTACGCTGGATATAGGAGCAGCCTCTTGCTGTCTTCTCCTGCCCCTATACTCCCTTTTCAATGCCAAGTGATTTATTCCGCATTACATTTCTGTTGGCGCGAGCCAATGTGCTTTGCTCTGGGCGTTTTTAAGCGTAGAGTAGTAGTTACTGCGTTAAGGCCTTGATTTCAGTTAAGAGATAGGGCTGTGTATACCTGGGTGGCTCGATGTGTTGGTGTAGGTTATGAACTGATGAAGCTGAAAATAATACGAGGTCCTTTGTCCTACTTTGAGGCTCTGTCTACGGTGTCGGGAGTAACCCGAAACAGACTCAGTGTTTCTGTGCAACTTCGCTAGACGATGGAAGCTAATTGATGGCAGATGTCTAGCCCCGTGGCTCGTTAGCAAGGACATGCTCGTTATGTGAAACTCAAATTTAGGCAATTAACCTGAAAGTAGCTGCTCTGCCAAAGCCGACCTCTTTCATTTATCCCAGACTCGCTTACTCCTACTTCTACCCAATTTGAAACAATAGGCTAAGCTCTATCACAGTGTCGATGCAGAGACTCAGCCAACCTTGGCGTAATGAAAGATAAATTGTAGGCTAAGGTTACGAGGAATAGGTGTGCCCTCTACTCCTGTATATTTGTAACGAAACTCATCCAGACATCTGCGTATGTATGTATATTGCAGGTAGATGCCTATATACTGACGAGCTTGGGTCTAGAGTTTATTTCATGTACCGGGATTTAGGTCTCTAGACAAGCCCAGGTAACAACGTGGGGGCTGTGGTTTGTATCTTGAGTTTACTTTCGCATCGTGCATACGACATATCAACACGGGAGGTTAAATCCTATAGGTAACATGACATACTAGTACGTGGAGAAGCTGATTTCCTGCATATATGTAACTACTATAATGTTTGACGATGTTCGACTAGGTACTTTATTAACACTAGGGAAGGTGAGGCTATATCTACAAGAGGACCTCGTCAAATAGTGGCCCCCCGAAGACCCAGCTAATCGAGTTCAAGCTGTTTGATGATGCGAGTCCAGCTTAGTCTTCCTTGCAGGCCAAGGTGATATCTAAAGTCAATCGTCGGCATATCCGCATTGTGTAGTGCTAAACATCTACCCTAACGCCCCTCATCTTGACGGCCGGCTTTTATCAAATATATGTTGTGCCTACTTGACTACTGGTTAGGAATATTAGTTGCGCCTATTTCCAACGTTGACGCAGTGGTCAAACCTACAGGATGAAAACGTCCGCAGTTGAACAGTCCTCGTTTCAAGGCGATACTAAACTTTCCCAGTGACTAGACCTTACACTGTTATTTGTAAAAACCTTCCAAAAAAGCCCAAGCAACGTATCGAGTGCCATTTTCAGCATTTGCATAAAGCCAGAGCGCTCGAATCCAAGCTCGATGGCAAGAAATTATTTCCTTGGGGCCATCAGCAGTTCTTATTTGCCCCTGTTTTTGGTGTAACAAAGTACTAGTTAAGGGGCTTGTGATGGGTGACTGATCTAGATTGAGCATGGCATACTGGCCCATATCGGATCGATTAGGTACCTAGACATGTCAAAGAGTAACCCAAGGAGTGGCGCAGCAGGTTTCATAGCTCACGTGAAATTCCTGTGTCTGACAACTGTACTCTGTACGCTATTTAGTGCTGGAGTAACGTATAGCAAACCGGTTCTTACCGAGCCCAGGTGAGTCTTCGTCGGGAACTCCGAGTACCAGGTGCCCAAGCCACACGTCTGTGGGCGTTGGGTTTACATGACGGAGTTAGACTTCAAGATACTAGGTGGAGATCATTTAAGAAAGGGGGGAAATCAAAAAGATGACTTCGTCCAGGTTCAAACTGGAGACATTCAGCGTGTTGAACTAAAGTGGTAACCAACTACACCACGAAGCTCTTATAGGGGTGAGGGAAACTGGACACAATCAAATGTAGCTTCGAGTGATTACCTACGTGGGTGCTGTACAAATATATGTACTCATTCAAACATTTAAATATCAAACACTGACATATGTATGTATGTTAGGGGGGAGCATAAATCATCTTGCATCTCCAACTCCTACTATGTGATAAAATCGGATAACTCGATAGGTCGTGAATACGGAGAAGCTATTCGTATCGGGAGCTTCGTAAGCTAAGCCGCCACCAATCACGCAAGTTTCCAGTAGCCCAGGAACGAGCGGCAGAGTACGGAACATCGGCCGATCGAAGCTTGCGACGGCAGCTGGTGGATCGATTGCGGCTCCAATGGTGGAGCGACCGGTTCGAGCGCTTAGCTGCTGTTAGCTTGCTGTTAGATAGGTAGGTAGGAACAGATTCTCCAGTAAACCTCGTCGACGTCACACGGAATATGCGAACTGCCGCGGAGAAGAGGTTTGACGTCCGCCATCACCTGTTCCACAAAGACAGTGTGCCACAAGTTTATTAATTGTGTTCACGTTGGTTGAGTTACATATACGTATATTGGTATATATGTACCTTTCGATCCCCCCCAATGTGGGATCAAAGCTACTTCGGGCATCGAGCGTCGAGCCTGAGCTTCCCGTCCGGGCGCGTGGTACGGGTGGAAGGTCTAGCCTCCTGCATTGGGGGGTGAGATCGAAGATGAAGCTGCAGGTAGCCGCTTTTCCTGTGGGTTAGATCTCACCTAATGCTTGAAAAGTGGGTAAATCTGGAAACGTGCCTGCGTGTTGGAAGCAGGTCCCCAATCGAGACGCCGGTGCCCTTTTTGCTTCGTGCAGTTCGTGTTCCCTCAGGTACCTAACCTTAGAGTTCGCCGTCAGGTTTTGTGCGGAGCAAAGGCTCCTTCCAGGACCGTATACACGCATATATACGCACCAAGATGCGGATAGAGCAAACATTTTGCAATAATCGAGATTTGGAATCATCGTTATTGCCTCTTTCTTAGTTGCCCAATTCGAAAGACGTCACTACCCATAGAGTTTCCAAAGGAAGGACGTGGCTATGTTTCGACAAGTGCGAGTCTGCGACCTCTTATATATAAAACACGGAAACGGCTCGTATCTAATAGGTCCACGAAATACCACACTTAACACCAACTTAGTAGATCCGGTTTGCGAGATCGATTATCCCCTTGGTTTATATATAGAAACTAGTCACTATCAGCACCATGGAACAGACAACAACAGCGGTCTCCGAGACAGGCACCAGGCCGCAAGATGATTCCATTACGGTAGAAGACCCTGCAGAGTTACCAAGTACCACATCAGGTCTTGCTCCAAATTCAAATTCGTCCAGTGGTAGGCCTAACCTACGTAGCACTGTCAGTTCGGCAGCAGAACCAGGCCAGGGTCGACAGAGTCGTGATTCCGATGTAGGAACCAAAAAACGCAGCGGATTCAAAGAACACATCCAAAAAGTTCGGGACCAGGCCCGAAAATTGCCAAGCGGCGGCCGTTCGCGGACAGAGGATGTAGGATGGGTTGACGGTACTTATTATGAAGCGAACGCAAAGGATGGCCAAACGAGGCAGAAACCTGTATTCAGTCTCAGCAAGCCACTACCTCACGTAGTCCGATGGCCTAGAGAGCCGAAGAATGCAGCTCCAGTCACTAAGCCCCCATCCAAAAAATCTTCCGACGATCCCGACGATCTAGCAGAACGCGGTGAAGCCGGTGAAGAAGACCCCAAGACGGTTTCACCGGAGGTCGTGACAGAGGAGAATGCAACGCACAGCGATGAGGGAGCAAGGCCCAGAAGGACAGCAGCCGGCGCGCTCCATTTCGAAAGACGTAACGATGCTGGGCAGCCCGTCTTCGACTACCAGCCTAGGGATGAAATCAGTTCCATGCGTAAGGAGCACGCGCCGATTGAAATGGATCAGCTGAGGAATAATGACGGTCCTAATTATGGAATCGACAGCGAACCGTTGGGAGGCCGACGAGAACACGAGGACGTTGAGAAAGGGGGCGAAGACCCGAACGAGTATAAAAATTGGTGGGCTCGTACACGCGCCAAGCACCCCGAACCGCTGGCTGAATTCCTTGCGGTATGCTTCTCCTCCCCCGTTCCCTTCCCACTCCGTCTTCCCTGTCGCTGAGGTTAATTTGGGTTGTAGACTGGTATTGCCGTGTTCATGGGGTTGGCGGCAACCCTGTCCGTGAATCTCTCTGCCGACCAGCCTGTCAAGTATGGTACGTATGAAACGTCATGTTGGGCATGGGGATTCGCTTGGATGTTCGGCATCTACCTTGGTGGCGGTGTTTCAGGAGCGCACATGAATCCGGCTATATCCATCAGCCTAACCATCTTCCGTGGGTTCCCCTGGCGCTCGTGCCTCATCTACATCGCTGCGCAATTCCTCGGGGGAATAGTAGCTGGAGCACTGGCATACGGTATCTATAGAGATACCATTCTCCATGTCGACCCAACTATGGCGGATACGGCCAAGACGTTCTTCTCGAGTCCCCAGGAATGGGTCTCGACCGGCACGGCCTTTTTCGACCAGGTGGTTGGTAGTGCAATCATGATGATCGCCGTGTTTGCGCTGGGAGATGACCAGAACAACCCACCAGGAGCTGGAATGCACGCATTGGTATGGCCTTTACCCCGTATCACCGACCTTTCAGGTCATACCTATCTCTCTTGACCAACAGAAGCTAACGGGAAATAGGTACTCGGCTTACTACTTACTACGTTGAAGTTTTCACTGGGTTACAATATTGGTGCAGCTCTGAATCCAGCCTCAGACTTTGGCCCGAGGCTTGTGGCGTGGCTTGTGGGCTATCGTAGCTCAGAGGTTTTCTCGGATGGATGGTGGTTCAAAGGCCCGTTCCTTGCTACTCTGGTCGGTTCCGTCATCGGCTGTTTGTTATACGATGGTCTTATTTTCAACGGGTCGGAGAGTCCAGTCAACTACCGTCCCAAAGACGGGTTCCAATTGAAGAAGCGTTTCCGGAAGGCTTTCGAATTCAAGAAGCGTACCCGAAGGTTTTTAGACTTGTTCAGAAAGTGGAAGTCCGGGTGAAGCATGTTTATACTAGCGTATTCAGAGCATTTTGGCAAGAGATGATGAATTATTAGCGTTAGGACCACGGAAAGGAGAATCGGTTACAGCGGTATGGTGATCCCATAGCTAATATAAATTTGCAGGGTTCGCCAAAACTAATAGGCCAATAATACGATGTGCTTGAAGAGATGTCGGAAGTCAAATTGAATGTCGAGAATAGGTACATGCGGGAATGTACATGTAACTGACGAAGATCAGCCGTCGATAAGTGGATCCTTCTCCCATGCTAGCGTACTTTTACTGTACCTCGGTACTTCGTATTGGCTGATTTAATAATGACCCGCCACGTGAGAACACGTACGTGGTCTGTGCGTTTTTTGACTCGGTTTGGTTAATTGGGCATTACCGCGAAAGAACGTCAACCACAAAACAAATACCGAGGTTCTTTCTTAACCTTTTCACTTCCAACATTCTTTTTTGCCATCCACATCGACATTGGCACCGCCAATCCTCCAATCCTTTCCTTTCCTTTCCTTTCAACAACGCGTAGCCTTTTGGTATCAAAAAAAGACTGCTGCAAAGGATTACGAGTATTTCGATTGAAAATGGCTTCGCCGCCGAAGCCCTGGGAGCGTTCCGGCGCGACAAGAGGTATGTTTTAACACCATACACTACTATTTTTCACATGTCATCCATCCATCCATCCATCATCAATCAATCAATAAAGGTTCCTTCATGCTTATTCTCTCTTAACAGACCCTACTGCCCAAGCCCCGGCGACCAACGTCAATGCAATCACAGCACCCGCAACTGCTACGGGAAATTCCATCACGGCGCCCGCCGCTACTACAGGAAATCCAGCCACGGGCACGCCGGCCATCCCTCCCCGTCCCACCTCGTTGAACTCGGCCGTGAATCAGAACGCGGCGGCCTACAGCGGCACACCATACAATCAACCTGCACCTTATAACCCGTACTCATCCCCCTACAATAGATATGGAGGAGGTGGTATGTACGGCGGTATGGGTGGCATGGGCGGTTACGGCGGTTACGGTAGCATGATGGGTGGCATGGGTGGCATGGGCGGCATGTACGGCGGCATGCCTGGAATGATGCAAAACGATCCGAACAACAACAGTCTGACCAGTCGCTTCAGCAATAACACCCAAGCGACTTTCCAGATGTTGGAGGGTATCGTTGGTGCCTTTGGTGGCTTTGCACAGATGCTGGAGAGCACCTACATGGCTACCCACTCGAGCTTCTTTGGTAAGTGAAGGTGGTTTGAAATGAGAAGACGGACTGCTAATAAATCAATAGCTATGGTATCCGTAGCCGAGCAATTCGGCAATCTTCGCGACACCCTAGGCTCAGTCCTAGGTATCTTCACCGTGATGCGATGGTTGAGAACCCTATTCGCAAAACTGACTGGCCGACCACCCCCGGTCGACGCCATGGCCCTCACTCCAGCAGCCTTCGCCCGCTTCGAGGGTCGACAAGCACCAGCCGGTGCCAATGGACCTTCGGGTCAACCCAAGCCCAGCAAGAAACCCCTCATCTTCTTCCTTCTTGCAGCTTTCGGTCTCCCGTATCTTCTGAGCAAGGCAATCAAAGCCCTTTCCGCATCTGCCGAGGAGGAAGAGCGTCAACGTCTCGCGGTTTCCGGTCAGAACGCGTCCATGGACCCCAACAAGCTCGAATTCTGTCGCGTCTTGTACGATTTCACACCCGAGACTGGCAATGCCACCCAAGGTGTCGATCTCGCTGTCAAGAAGGGAGACTTCATCGCAGTACTGAGCAAGAGCGATCCTCTGGGCAATCCGAGCGAGTGGTGGCGTTGCAGAGCTAGGGATGGTCGTCTCGGATATCTACCTTCTACCTTCTTGGAAGTGGCCAAGAAACCAGGCCAACCTATCGCTGCTATCAAGGC